GGTCCAATAATCCCACTTCTGGGTTTTTATTCAAAAGTTTTAAAATCAGAATCGTGGAGAGATTGGTTTCTCCTATGTTCACTGTAGCATTATTCACAGGAGCCCAAGTATGAAAACAATGCTGATGGATGGATGAATGGTTAAAGAAAATGTAGTACGGATACACACTGGAGTATTATTCAGCCTTTAACAATAAGAAAATCTTGATATCTGCAACATGATTGAACCCAGAGGACATAAGTGAAATAGACCAATCATAGGATGACATATTGAATGATTATGAAACATAATAGCCAAACTTTGGAGAAGCCAAGAGAAGAATGGTGGTTTCCACAGGATAAGGGGAGGGGAACATGGAGAGTTGCTAATAGGAATAAAGTTTAAGTAATAAAGGTGAATAAGTTCTAGAGATCTGTGCAACATTGTTAACCATATTATACACTTAGATTTTAGATGTTTTTATTGAAAACAAGTCTATCCGCAGATTTTTTAAATTTAAAAAGATTCAGATCATTCAGTGGCCTCAGACTGGTAGAGGTTGTCATAGCAGTTGAGTTGCTCCTAACTACTTCCTGGTTAAGTGGGGGTGTGCAAGCCATCAGTGCCGAGTTCTGGATCTTATTTACTCCTTGCCTGAGGTTTAAGTTTACAATGCTTTATATTTAACTGAAAGATCTAGAAGATAATTGATGACGGGTCCAGTGAATGGGTCACTCCCATCATTTGGGAACCATTAGAGATCTTTCAGCGCAGACTCACTCTCACCCTGTTCCCCTGGAAGACTCATTTCCCTAGTAGTTGATCATAACTGACACTCGCCACAGATGCTGCAAAGCCTGGTTTCAAGAGTGGTTCTCTCTAGGTGTTTCCTAGGCCTTTGTATTCTTGACTTTGAGCTGCATGGGTTCTAGCATCTGAAGGATTTGGAATGGCCACTCTGGCCCTGTATGTGCAAGTGAAGTCTCTCCTCCTGACATCCCTGGCACTGGTAACGCCAGAATTCTTATAAAAACCATCAGTGACACTAGGCCAAATTTTCATGGTACATTGTTCCTGGGGGCCAAGCCCAGAGCTGCCATTGGTTCTGCTGGGATTCTGCATCTACTCGCCCCCTCCTACACTTTCATTTTTTAAGGAAATATTTTGTCAAGGGTTGGAATTTTAGAAAGCTCCAGGTGAGTTCTACTTGATGTTGCCTTGATAATTTCCCCAGATTTTTATTTTCCTTTTCAACTTTGATTGTTTCCCTCTTCTTTGATGCAGGGCAGTGAAAGCAGATTTTACTCTGTGCCTCCTTGGTAGGAATTGAGTGGAATGTTATTTGATCCTTAGGCCTCTGAGGTTAGACAAGGAATTAGAAATATCTGAACTCTACTCTAAACCCTGATCTTCTCATCCCCAATGTGTGCTTAATAAGAAGCAGAATCAATACTTCAGGTCAGAATAAGTTCAAATGGTCTAGAATTTTCATATCAGAAATAAAAGAAGAAACAATGGACTAGAAATGTTCAAAACTACTGCCCCTGGTAAGGTGTGTGCTGGTTCTCAACTCTTCTCCAAAGGATGTTGCTTAAATTTCTGAAGTTGACAAATGTGACCAAATGCATGATTTCATTTTTAGTTACAACAGAAAGAAGGGGACTCCTGAGAAAATGTCTAAAGAGATTTTATAAAGATAGAGCTTTAGGTGAACTCTTATCAAATCTTGCCTCCAACTTCTCAAAAGATTGTTAAATTGCCTTCTTACATCCGAGAACTTATTATGAAATGCATCTGTCATGTAGATAGAAGAGTTTACCCTAAATCCCTCTTACCTGAGAGCTGGAGCTGGAGGAAGCAGGGAGTAGGGGCAGATCGAGGAGGACACACACCTGTTCATAGGCTGCATGACTCAGGTACTGGTAGGGCTGGAGTGGGAGTGGCGAACCATCTGGTCTCAGCCCAGCTCACCTTGTTAGAATACCAGTGTGAAAACTGTGGACTTGAGGCAATTTTTGATTTTTGCAATGACCAGGTTTTTCTATTGATGGGCAATGTTAAAGCCACATAATATGGTTAGCTATCTGGGTCTTCACATTGTTTCCTTTCTCTTACATGGAAGGACTGGGTTATGAGTACTTACAAGAGTAGAGAACTTGCATGCTTAGGGACTTAAAACCATGTGGCTCCATAGTTGCTGAAAGAATGCTGGACTTGGTGGAGCCTGGCTCACCTCATTCTGTGTAATGGAGGAATTTAGGGACATCCTGGGCCACTTCATCTAAGAATTTGTGTGGGGAAAGGGCATCCATTTCTTGGGTACCAGACAGAGGCTCATCTCTACATGCTTGATGCCAGTTATCCTCATCACAAATCTGCAAATAGTGTTCTCACTAGGTGAGCCAGAGAGGGGGCAGGGGATTTGTGACAGGCCACACCTGGTTCATACGTGGCACAACCATCATGATACAAAGGTCTAGGCAACACCAAAACTGGTGCTCTTTTGCTATTTTTTTTAACTAAAGCTTTATAGTTATAACTAAAACTTTTCCTTCCCATCCTCCCTCCCTTCTCTCTACTAGGCTTCCTGTCACTCATCTATTTATGTTTGATTGGTTTTATCTATGCATGAAGGTGGGGTTCCCTGTGGTACATTTATACATGCACATAACATGATTTTCTAAGAATTCATTCTGCTTTGCCTCCCCTTACCCATCCCTCCACTCTGCCTCTTGATCTATTTCTTCTACATTACTGATCTTTCCTGAGTTAATTTCATTATTTTGCTATTACAATAAACAACAAGGTGGCTGTATCATTGTGATATTCCAATTTTAGATCTCTGGGGGAAAATACCAATTAATGGGATAGCTGGGTCATTTAGTGTTCTATCCCTAGTTTTTAAAGGAATCTCCATATTGCTTTCCAGAGTGGTTGTACTGGTCTGTAGTCCCACCAGCAGTGTACAAGTGTTCCTCCCCCTGCCCCACAATCTCACTAGCATTTGTTTTCTGTTTGTATTCTTGATCATTGCTGTTCTGACTACACTAAGATGAAATCTTGATTTGCATTTCTTATTGCTAGTGATGCTGAACCTTTTTGGTTGGCCATTTGTTTCTTTTGAAAAGTTTAGTTCCTATGCCTACTTATTGATCAGGGTATTTGTTTTCTGGATAACAATCCCCTGTTACTAGGAGTAGCTGGCCAAGATTTTCTCCTTTTCTATAGATTCTCTCTTCCCATTTTTGCTTCCTTTGCTGTGAAGAAGCTTTTTAGTTTGGCATCCCACTTATTGATTCTTGATTTATTTCTTGCACTTTGACAGTCTGAAGTCAGTGCCAGAGCCTATATGATGGAGTATACACCCTAGTTTTCTTCTAGCAGTTGTAAAGTTTCTGGTATAATTCCTAAGTTTTTGATCCATTTTGAGTTTTGTTCCAGGTAAGAGATGGGGTTCTAGTTTCATCTTTGTATGGCTATCAAGTTTTCCCAGCACCATTTGTTAAAAAGGCTATTTTCTCCAAAATATATTTTTGGTGCCCTTGTCAAATATGGGACAGCTATAAGTATGTGAATTTGTCTCTGTCTTCTATTCTGTTCTATTGATCTTTGTGTCTTTTGATGCCAATACCATGCTGTTTTTGTAACTATATCTCTGGAGTATAATTTCAAATCATGTATTGTGATGCCTCTTGTATTCTTCCAAATTTAAGAATTGTTTTTCCTAATTGTGAATAATGTCTATGGGGATTGCATTGAAACAGTACATTGCTCTTGGTATTATGGCCATTTTCACAATATTCTGCCTGTACCAGAACAGGGGAGGTCTTCCCATTTTCTAAGCTTGTCTTCAATTTCTTTCTTCAGAGTTCTATAATGTTCATTGTAGAGATCTTTTACCTCTTTGGTTAGATAAATGAAAACTCATGCTCTTTTGATGGTCCGTTCTTAGAGTATACATATAAAAAACTAAAGAACCAGAGATGCAGATGGGTACAGCCTGCAGCTAAGAGGAGTAGGCGAGACTAAGGAGCAGAACTGGCTGCAAGTTGGGAGAGTTATATAAAAGGCCAGACAGTGTGCTCTAACTGGAGTTGAGAAGTCCCCGAGTAAAATCCAGGATGGAGCAAGATGAAGAGCTGGACAATCTGGGTTTCTGCAGGGTGCACCAATTAGATATGAGACTAAAATATCCCTTGGAAAATGGAAAAGTATACAGTGCCAGTTGGTGCAGGTTTCTCCCATTAAAGCCAAAGTAGCAAAGTATAAGTCAGTTATTCTCTGCAACTGTACATCACTATTAGGATATTTAACAACAATAACAACAACAACAACAACAAAAACCAACAAAACCTTATTCTAGAGGTCGAGTCTGTTCCTGTTGTGTCTTGTGACTGCACGTGTAGGCTGTCTAGTGGAGCTGCAGGTTCCACCCCCAACCCTGGGCTACAGCTGAGGGTAGCCTGAGAGCAGAGCGGCTGTCAGCCAGGACTCTGAAATCAAGCAATACACCTGCTGAACTAGGTGCCCAGAAAGACTTACGAAGCCGCGGTTCTTGCTCTGCTGGATCTCATGGCACTCATCTCTCTTGTGCTCTTCGCAGCACCCTCTTTAGGAAAAGCAGCTCAGAAATGATCAGGATGTGGTCCCTACTGGCCTTCAGGAGGGTCTGTGACACCTGGAGCAGAGAACAACTATGGGAGGGCAGGGACAGATGAAGGCCAAAGAAATGCAAATGCTCACAGCAAGGGTGACTTAGATCTCATATGATTACAAATTTTACTCAGATTTCCTTATGCTCTCAGTTGTCCTTTATGTACCTGTTGTATTGGAAGAATGAACGTTTTTTTTTTTCAGCCTCTGCTTGGCTTTGGGAGGCACAGGGTTGGGAAGATCTTGCTGTGAAAAGATGCAATAAACAGCCTTAAAGCCACATTAGGGCGAACCTGGCATGCTAAGTTACGGCCCAAGTCATAGGCTGTCAAATCTGACCTTGCCCTGGGTATGCTCTGCTTTTTCAGGTGGCGCTCAAGCATGAGGATGGTGAAGAGATAGCAGAGCCACCCCCCAGTGGGCTCCGGGACCGCAGGAGGGCCAGCGTGTGTTCTGGTGGCAGTGGGGGTGAGCAGCAGAGCATTGACCGCAGGAGGAGCCGCAGGCACTCGGTTCAGACCCTCAAGAGTCCGCTGTCGGCTCCTACCAGTCCCTGCTCCCTGTCAGCTGCTGCCTTCAAGCCGAACCAAATACGAGACCTCTGTGAAAAGTAAGTTAAACCCAGTGTTGGGAGAGGTGAAGGGTAGCCCCCCAAAGAGGGAGGGAGGCCATGAGCCATAGATGCCCACGGCCATTGGCTCTCCACCAGCCAGAAGAGCCCCTGGCCGTCCCCCTGCCTTTTCTCTACCATGAAACCACCAATACCAGGAAACACCCCCAGCAAGGCACACCCTGGTGTGCAGAGACTTGGTGACCTTGTCTTCAGCCACCTGTGTTTTTATATTCTTTAATATCTCCATATCATTCATATCCATTCAGAAAAGCTTTTAGAAAATGGAAAAGAATCCAAAACACACAACTTTTGTCTATAAATACGGTAGGCTACCACAGTAGTATAAAATGATAGACTCTTGAGAAACCTGTAGCAAATCACAAAATTGGTTTTAGTTAAGTATAATAAATCCGTGTAAGTTTAGAAACATGTATTTCTTTATATTTCAGTAAATTCTTTCATTTAGTTCAGTGAAACATGTTTATTGAGTGTCCACTGTGGGTCAGGACTACTCAAAGGCAAGCAGATATATAACTAGAAGTGGTTATGGTCTGTGTCTTTATGAACCTCACATCTGGGCTGGGAGGGAGAACAAGAAAGAAAGGAAGAAATGAAAAGATTGACAATCCTGTGAGAAATTATTTAGGTTCAAAATTTGAAGTTTGATCCAATCTGAGGAAGCCCAGAGTGATTCTGAAAACCTCCGGTACGACACAGGGATGGCCATGCTCTCTGGGATCTGGCGAGTTGTGTACTCCCCAGCAGATGCTGTCCATTCACTGGGAAGAAGCGCTTTGTGGACCAGTCCATAGCGCTGATTCATTCATTTCCTGCTGCTGGTGGGAGCAGTGCTTATGTCATTTGGAGCTTTTGCCCCCATCGAAGGAGACATTCCTGGGACCAAATTCAGGTCACCCAGCTGCAAGATGAACAAGAAAATAACTTGAAGTTGCATGAATTTTTGAAAGTGTACCATCAAGATGTGCCCCCCAGTCTCTGAGGGAATACTCTACTATCTTCATCACCAAGAAGTGGCCCAGGTAGCTTGGACCTCATGGAGTCATACTGGGCATGTACCAGGCTATATCTTTGGGTACCTACCACCCAGAAAGTAGGAGAAGGGTATGGCCTCAGAGTGACATGCAATGTACAAGTTGTAAGTTGAAGTTGTTTTTCTTGTTTGTTCTCTTTAGATACTCAAGACAGTAGAGTGTATTTTGACATACTATGCGTACATGGAGTATAACCTAAGATCCAATTCTTGTGATTGTACATGATGTGGAGTTTCGCTAGTCAGGTGTTCATATATGAAGTAGGAAAGTTATGTCTGATTCACTCTACTGTCTTTCCTATTCCCATGCCATCATTCCCTTTTGTCTAATTCACTGAAATACTATTCTTCCCTCCCACCTCCTTTTGTGTGTTACCATCCACATATTGAGGACATTTGGTCTTTGGTTTTTAGGGATTGATTTATTTCATTTAGCAAGATAGTCTCCATCTATTTACTGGCAAAAGTCAGTCATTCTCTTTTTATGTCTGAGTAATATTCCATTGTGTATATATACCACATTTTCTTTACCCATTCATCTATTGAAGGGCACCTAGGTTGGTTCCATAGCTTAGCTATTGTGAATTGAGCTGCTTATGAACATTGATGTTACTGTGGTACTGTAGCTTGCTGATTTTCTTTGGATCTATGCCAAGGAGTGGGGTAACTAGGTCAAATGGTGTTTCCATTCCAAGTTGTCTGAGGAATCTCCATATTGCTTTCCAAAGTGGTTGTACCAATTTGCAGTCCCAACAGCAACGTGTGAGTGAACCTTTTTCCCCACATCCTCAACAGTATTTATTGTTGGTTGTATTGAAGTGTCTTTCTATCTCATATCCCCAGGGACACTTCATCTATGGGTATCTATGTTGCTGAGAGGCTCTGTACAACCAGTTCTGTTTTAGTGAGAAAACCTCAATTTTCCATCAGGTTGACGAATGAGAACATTTACCATGAATGCTGCATTTGGTGATCTAGGATCTTGAAGAAACTAGGTCAATAATATGCAAAGAAAAGGCCACCGAAATGCTGCCCTAGCACTGCTCCTAGTTAATGGCCCTTGAAAGTTGAGGACACCGTACATGGGGATGGGGAGAAAAATATATATTTAAAACCACCAATGAGGTTAAGATGGTAGTGAAGGGGGTCCCTGTTCTGTTGCTCTGACTTGTGTTCCTGGCCTGCTTCTTGCTGTTAGACTTCTCAGAGGTTGTCAGTTCAGGTGACAAAGCCTTGGGATGAATTGGCAAATGGTGGCCAAGAGAACCATCCTGGGCACTGTTCATAGTCCTAAAATTCTGGGCTTGGTGAGAATGAAACAGAAGGCTGGGGACACTTCCCTGAATGCCATTTGTTTCATCCTTTTCAAATAAGATGGATTTTTTTCATTTTACTCAAATTTTATTGCCTTAACATAAATTTAATAGTGCTTGAGGAAAAATGCATTTTTCAGCTTATAGAGATAGAAAACTTGTCTCAACATTTTTTTTAAATTTATTTATTTTTTATTTATTTATTTTTTGGTGGTGCTAGGTGGGGATTGAACCCAGGTCTTGTGCATGGGAGGCAAGCACTCTATCCCCAACCCTGAGATAGAAAACTTGTACGAATGTGTTACAAGGTGACTTCATCCATGAAGCCTGTTGAAAGAATTTTGCCTCTGGTCCCAAACTGACAGACAGTTTGTCAAGGAGAGAGTGAGATGGAAGGGTGGCAAGAAGCAACATGGACAACAGGCCCTGCTCAGTCACCTGCTCACCATCAGCACCTCACAGTAGTACCTTAGCATAAAGAAGCCCTGTGTCTCCTACAGACCTGGACATACCCGGAAGCATGCCTGACCTTAGTTGCTTTTTGTTGCCTGAGCACCCTGGTCATACTTCTCACTTGCAGCAATGTGCTTGCAGATGCTACCCATGAGGAATTTGAGGCTGGATTTTATCACTCTGTGACCCCAGTGACGAGCATACCTTTTCTTGCAAAGGAGATAGAAATATGTGTAAGGTTAGAAAGCAATTTGTGTTGTTAAAACACTTATGGAACTCTCTATTCCCGTGGTGGTCTTAGATCCTTTGAATTTAATTCTCACGATGATCCCCTGTAGGATCCAAGCATCACTATCATCCATATTTAACAGAGGAGACAAAAGGATAGGTGCCTTGTGTCAAATGGCAGGACAAGTGGGTGGGTTAAGCCCAAGTCTTTGGTCCTTGACTCTCAGTTTTTATTGAGGTAAATACAAAAATTAAAAAAGTTGAAAAGGAGATAATTTCAAAGTCTCCCTCCAGGTCTAAGCCAGCTAAGCTGTGTGCCGTTGTTCTAATAAGGACTAATCAGCTTCCTAATTCATATTGCTTTACTTCAGTTTCTTAAATAGCTCCACAAGGCACCTTTACCAGGTAAGAGTTTCTTGTCATCTGTCCCCTAAAAGCATCTTAATGTGATTGTGTGCCATGAGTTTCAACTATGCGCTTAAAATGTACAGATCTGATTGGAAGAAAAATGTGGGTGCTTTTTATTACCAAGAAAATTATTTTGGACACCTAATTAGCAAAAGAAGTTTAAACAATGATTATGTATAATCAGTCTTAGCACTATAAAGTTTTTGAAATTCGTTCATCCCAAAGTGGGAGCCAAGAGATGGGGTACACTTACAGGCTTAGTCTCACCCTTTCCTGAATAGCCCATTATATCCATGCACATATTTATCATATATTTCTGCTTTCTGGGAAAATCTCTGACCCTCCCTCTCCAGTTGATTCTGTGTTCATCTTGGATTTTCCTTCATCAATACCCAACAGGCCTCTGGATGCCAGTCTTTGATATTGAACACTGCACAGGACTTAGTGCCTGAACTGTAAGTTTCATTCTGTTGATTTCCACAGAACATTCCAGCCTGAAGAGGTAATTTTGAATTTCATTCAGTCATTGATGTTAGCCGTTGTGCCATCCAGCATTCAGTCATGTGTATATTTTAATATACATGGAAGAGTGACTTGGCCAAGAGTGGATGATGATGACTGTTTGGGGAGGTGGAAGGTACAGACCAGTCCCGTGTGCCCCAAAAGCAGAGGTCGGCCAGCTTTCTCTGTCTGGTGCCAGATAGTAAACACACTGAGCTTTGCAGGTCGGACAGGCTCTGTTGCAACTATTCCACTGAACTGTGCCTGTGTGGCACAAGATCAGCCATCAACAACAGGTTGGCAAATGAACACGGAGGCATTCCAGTGAAATTTTATTTATGACATTGAGGTTTGAATTTAACATGTCGTGAAATATTAGGCTTCACCCTCCCAACCATTAAAAATGTAAAAAATCATTCTTGGTGCACAGGTCATCCAAAATGGGTAGTGGGCCAAATATGGCACCAGTGTCTTAGTTTGCCAGTCCCTGTTCTAAGGGGCCAGCTTTTTTGAGGGAGGCTAGAGGAGGAAAATGGCCTGGAATTGGCCAAGGGGAGTGTGTGGGGTAAGAGAAACTCATTGTGCCATGTGAGAACTGTGCTCTTAGGTTTGGAGTTACAGCAAGGAAGTTAAGGGCTCAGTAAAGGGATCAACACTACAGGGAGTCTTGAGGGACAAAGTAGGAAATTGAGGAAGTTAGAGAAGGGCAGGAGATAAGTCAGACTGGGGAGCAAGAGGCTGGTGGTAAGTCCAGGGAAGGGTGGAGAGTTGGGGAGGTTAATGCAAGCTGATATTACCTCCAGTGGTCCGTTAAGGCAGTGGTTCTCAACCAGGGTGATTTTTGCCCATCAGGACACCTGGACCCATATTTAGTTGTCATACCTGGAGTGTGGTGGGTAGAGTCCAGGAATGCAGTTTTGGTAAGAATGTCCCCTTGCCAAACAAAGAATATATCTGCTCTAAAGTGTCAAGAGTACTGAGTCAGATAATTGGTTAATAGTTGTACCTCCTCCTTGGGGCGATGCCCATGTAGGGAATGTCTT